GGAAGGAAGGAAGGAAGGAAGGAAGGGTAAAATGTTACATAATGAGTATGTCAGCTAACAGTAGCAAAAGCCAAATGTATATGTACATACTTTGAGTTTCTTTGTCTAAATTAATGGAATCACCTTTTTCTGCCTGATAGGCCTTTGATTCTGGAGTCAAAAATGTGCAGTCACCACCCACAGTCACGGAAGAGAAGTCAGCCACTGACCTGACAGCAAAACTCTTGCTTCTCGATGAACTGGTGTCCCTAGAAAATGATGCAATTGAGACAAAGAAGAAAAGGAGTTTCTCTGGTTTTGGGTCTCCCCTTGACAGACTCTCAGCTGGCTCTGTAGATCACAAAAGTAAACAGAGGTAAGTGAACTCTTAGAAAAACGAAGTTTTTGTTTTCTATTATTATTTCTTTCTGGGTTCTAAAACAGAAATAATTCCACATAAAAAATGTAGTGAAAACCTTGTATATAAATAGATTTGACAGCATATTAGCTAATCTGTGGCTTTAATAGTATGGTTTTCAAAATAACTCTTTAGGGAGCAAAATGAGTTCAACAGTGTGCATTAGTATTTTTGTCATAATATTTCCTAAGAAAGATTCTGTCTTATGCAGATATAAAACAGTTATTATAAGACATTACTGCATTTAGAGGCGATGAGAAATGTATGTGCAATCGTATTAATGTTCTGGTCAATTGAGTTTTCTATTTCATAGAGGTGAAATGCTTTCCAAATTGTGTCAATGAAACTGAATGAAAAGCTCTCAGAAATTAGAGTCAGAACACATGTGTTTCTGTCAAATTTATGTTTACTTCTTTCCATGTGACTTATATAAGTATCTTATCTTCTCTGATCCTCAGATTATTTATCCATAAAGTGAGGATAATTACTTGCTTCCATAAAATTCAAGTAAGATAATCAAATGTAAATGCTTCATAGAATGCTAATTATTATAATAACTTTAGAGCAGTGAAATATCCCTATAAACATTAAGAAACTGTCAGTAATTTAAAGTAATCATTTCAGACTTAATTCATTTTCTACCGCTCAATATCTGTTCCTCGTGCTCTACATTTCATATAGCAGTGACAGCAAAGACCACCCAAGTACCATAGACAGGTATCTGAAAAACTTACCAAGATTTCTTTTGTTCACCCTTAACATTTCTCACTAAATTCTCTAAATACGGTTTGCTTTATATATTAAGTAACTCCAGAATATCACCATTCATTAAGGCTTTCCTAATTCTGGCCTAAATTATTAATTTTTTCACATTTGTTCTTTCTCTACTCTTTCCTCATCTCCACCTCCACCACCATCACCACCCCTTTATCACCAATGTATCGTGAACTTGGCTACCAGGATGATCATCTAGAACAAAAATCTGTGTGAAATGTTATTCATTGCTTACAGTACAAAAGTCAAACTCCTTTGCAAGTCCTACAAAGAATTTCATAATCTGGAACCTCATTTCTTCTTGCACTTATTTTCACATCCTTTGCTTCCATCTTTCTTGATTCTTAGAGGTCTGGGGCTTTTTATTCTTGTTCCTGGTTCCATAATTTTTCTATGCTAAATGATTGTCAGGATACTTGTTGCAATTTCATATACCTCTGTTCTGAAAGATTCTCAAAGCTGCAATAGAAAATAAAATCATCACTTGAAGACTATAATTTATACTACATGTGTGTGAAAAACAATCCTATCCTATATTTTTAAATTCCGATCCTACTTTAACTAGAGAAATAGAAATTAGTTCCACTATGTTCTAGGTACTGTGTTGGGTTCTGGGGAAAAAGAGGAGAAAAATATAGTTTATGTGCCTCAAAAAAATCACATGCTTATAAAAAATATAGTATTATTTATAACAAATTATAATACAAGAAATGATGAAGAGACAAAGGAACATTAGTACACTGTTGGTGGAAATGTAAATTAGTATAACAACTATGGAGAAGAGCTTAGAGGGTCCTCAGAAAACTAAAAATTGAGCTACCATATGATCCAGCATCACCACTGCTGAGTATGTAGATCAAAAAGAACTAATTCAAAAAGAACATCAGCATCCAAAGGATAGTTGAGCTTTTAGAAAAGAAAATACGGTGTCTTCTAATAAATGTTATTTCTTTGACTCATGGATATTGCAACATGGTCAACTAAATAATCTGTAAATCGGTATATAAAGGCCATACATAAATATGTATAAATTTATTAGAGCATAAATACTAAATAGAGTATACTAAATATATATTGCATAAATACTATTAAATTTACATTGAAGCTTCATTGTATGATATGGTTTGGCTGCGTACCCATCCAAATCTCATCCTGAATTGTAGTCCCTATAATCTATGCATCTATATGGCCATAAAAAGGCATGAGAGGTTGGGTGCAGTGGCTCATGCCTGTAATCTCAGCATTTTGGGAGGTCACGGCAGGTGGATCATGAGGTCAGGAGATCCAGATCATCCTGGCCAACATGGTGAAAACCCGTCTCTACTAAAAATACAAAAATATTACCCGGGCATGGCAGCACCCAACTGCAGACCCAGCTACTTAGGAGGCTGAGGCAGAATTGCTTGAACCCAGGAGGCAGAGGCTGCAGTGAGCCAGGATTACACCACTGCACTCCAGTGACAGAGAGAGATTCCATCTCAAAAA